TGAATTGAAATCTTACACCATATGCAAAAATTAATTCAAAATGAATTAGAAACCTAAATATAAGAGCTAAAACTACAAAACTCTCCGAAGAAAACAGAAAAAAAAAAAAATCTTCATGACATTGGATTGGTCAAGGATTTCTCTTGGATATGATACCAAAAGCACAGGCAACAAAATAAATAAGCTCAAATTCACCAAAACTAAAAACTCAAGAGTGGAAAGACAAGCCACAGAATGGAAGAAAATATTTGTAAATCATATATCTGATAAGGGACTAAGAGCCAGAATACATTTTTTTACAAAATCATATCCTGCAAATCAACAGTAAAAAATAAGCAAGCTAAAAATGGGCAAAGAACTTGAACAGACATTTCTCCAAACATATACAAATGACCAGTAGACACACAAAAGAAGCGCAACATCACTGGCCATTAGAGAAATGCAAATCAAAACCATAATGGTTGGGCGCCTGGGTGGCTCAGTTGGTTGAGCGACTGCCTTCGGCTCAGGTCATGATCCTGGAGTCCCGGGATCGAGTCCCGCATTGGGCTCCCTGCTCAGCAGAGAGTCTGCTTCTCCCTCTGACCCTCCCCCCTCTCATGCTCTCTTTCTCTCTCATTCTCTCATTCTCGCTCTCTCAAATAAATAAATAAATCTTTAAAAAAAAAAAAAAAACCCATAATGGTAACCCTTCACACTCATTAGATGGCTAAGTAAAAACAGAAACAAACAAAAACCCCAGAAATTTAGTGTTGGAGAGGATGTGAAAAAACTAGAATGCTTCTTTCTGCATTGCTGGTGGGTATGTAAAACGGTGTATCTTTGTGGAAAAATTTTGGCAATTCCTCAAACACGTAAAAAATTACCACATAATTCAGCGATTCCTCTCTAGCTAGGTATGTTATCCCAAAGAATTAAAAGCAGAGACTCAAACAGATACGTATGCAACAAGATTCATTGCAGCATTATTCTTAATAGTAAAAAGGTGAAACCACCCCAAATGTCCATGACAGATAAATGAATATCAGAATGTGGTACACACAATGGAGTATTCAACCTTAAAAAGGAATGAAAGGAATGAAATTGATACATGCAACAACACAGATGAACCTTAGAAACGTTATGGAAAGTGAAATAAGCTGCACACAAAAAGACAAATATCCTATGATTCCACTGATACGAAGTACCTAGAATAAGCAAATTCATAGACTGAAAACAGAGGTTACCAGGGGCAGGGAGGAATGGAGTTATTGTTTCGTGGATAGTTTGGGATGAGGAAGTTCTGGAAATGGATAGTGGTGACAGTTGCACAATGTGAATGTACTTAATTCAACTCATACTTAACAGATGGTTAAATAGGAAATTTTGTATTTTTCTGCAATTAAAAAAATGAGTTAATATTTGTAACACACACATGAAAAATATTATAGAAGGGGTTTAAGTAAATGGGGGTATAGATAAAACAAAATTGACCGTGAGTTGAAAATGTTGAAATGGTGATGGGTACATGGGAGTTCATTAGAATAGTTTCTCTATTTTTTAAAAAAATTTGAGAGAGAGCAAGCTTGAGTTGGATGAGGGACAGAGGGAGAAGCAGACTCCCGCTGAGTAGGGAGCCCGATGTGGGGCTCAATCCCAGGACCCCAGGATCACGACCCGAGCCGAAGGCAGATGGTTAACCGACTGAGCCACCCAGGCACCCCAGTTTCTCTATTTTTGTATACATTTGGAAATTCCCATAACAGAGTTTAGAATATCTGATACTGAAAAAAATGAATTTAAGAACACAGTAAATTAGTGGGAAGTGAGAAACTACTGGTTAAGAGTGATTACAGTGAATAGTGTGTAATACTAGGATTACATATAACATGATCATGTATTATAATGACTACTTAATGATATATAGTAAGTTATTGTGCTAGACCCCTGTATTTCTCTACCAGGAAGAGGTAACAGGTGTAGTTATGAGACTGCGTCACTTCTCTTGCTGTTGGCTGGTCAGTCAACTCACACTCCTGGAACTCAGGATCTCACAGCAAGTTTCCATTCCGCAGTCTATGAACACCTCTCCCCCAGAACGATGCCAAAGGTCCTACGGCAAACCGGCAACAATGCTCTGCAGTAGTTCAGCTGCCTCCATGGGCACCACATTATAAACACAAACTACTTTAAGTCGGCCTTGGCTTAGATCACAGTACTGACTTTCAAAACACTGGCCACAACTATCAACAGCATTTACCAGGAAACCCATGGGAGATTAGGAAGGCTGCTGACTCACATACTTGGTGAATGTAAGCACCATTACATTTTGTTACGAAGATTACAGCCGAATTCTGGATAGCTGCATGGTGAAGACACTCATAATCTAAATATTAGTCAGGTTGGGGTAAAAGTTATTTTGAGTCAAATTTAAACTTGTTCTATATATTGTTACCATGATAGGAGTCCTGACTGCTTTGCAAGAAATTAACAAGGAAGCCTGGGGTTAAACTTGTACATGTGTGAAGTAGGGAACTTCATTTACTCACAACTCATTATTAGGTTTGTGTACAAAACTTAATGGACTTGTGACTCACACTCCAGTTTTAGACGAGCTAATTCATTCTCTGTGACTGCACTCATTTAAAAACCATCCGTGTCTGAATGGCTTGATTTAGCCAAGACTCTCTCCTCTGATCTTGACTTTCTCCCTATAGGCCAGGATATGGAAATGAACTGTGATCACAAAATTTAATTCTAAATATCATATATATATATATAGATGGATGTCCTTCTACACCAGATGGATATTAATGGCATTCCTTTTCTGAACTGTGGCCAATGTCCAAAAGACAAATATATGGAAAAACATGAATCCAGTGGGTCTCTAACTCCTCTCCAGTATTTATGAGACAGTATACAAAGTAAGATTTAACCTACTGTGAATTTTCTGAAAGCTAGTTGTCTGGGTGGTGTTTGTTGCTACATTAGCACAGCGTTTAGCTTCTTTAAAACACTTAAGACAAAGAATCCAATAGAAAAGAACAAGCAAACAACATGATGTAGTACACAGAAAAAGAAATTACCATGGTCAATAAAACATGAAAGCATGTTCAACTGAGACCAAGAATGCAGGCTGTCATTTTTTCACATGTCAGATTAGTAAATTTGATGGGAGATAGAGGAAAAAAACACACTCATACATTTCTTTTTCATAGGAGTTTAAATTCATTTGGGCATGGTAACATTTATTAAAAGTTACATAGCACACACTCTTTAACCTATCAATATTCACTGCAAAGAATTTACACTCTGGGTATACTTGTAAAGGTGTGTGTGGTGTGTGTTAATTTTCACAGTAGCATATTTTGTAATGTCAAAACATGAGAAATAAATGAGCGCTAGGAGAATATGCAGATCATAGACTGTTACCAAACCTGTTCAAAAAAGTAACATGGAAATGTCAAGATAGCCAATTATATGGTGTACCACCTTTGTGAAAACTTGATACAAATATATAATCAAATATAAAGATATAAAATTGAATATAAACTGAATGCATATATATGAATGTGTATATGTATGCAGCTAATATTTTCTGGAAGGACATACAAAAAGCAATAGTGGTTAACTTTAGGGAAGCAGTGGGTAAGTCTTTTCACTTTATACCATTCTGTCCCATTTACATTTCTAACTTAGGCACCAACTATGCTTCCCTTTTCCCCTCCCTGCTCACCCCAGTGAGAAAGCAGCCATGCAAATCCTGTGTGTGTTTCAGGAGCCAACTGAGTTCAACATCTGTAAACACTCATCACAGGAAGGTAAAGATCAATGGTTCTCAGCTCTGATGGCACACTGGGAGGCCTTAAAAAAATACCGATATCTGGGCCCAAACCCAGACTCTGACTTAATGAGTACGGGGTGCATCCTTGCATGGGGAGTCCTAAAAACTCCCCAGGTGATTCTAATAGACAGCCAGGGGTGAAAACCACCAGATGTATCACTTTAATTATTCTCCAATGATAAATAATGAACTAATGGGCTGTTGATCGCAAGAATTAAGTGTCTGAGGCCATAGGCAGAGTCCCCAGCAGTACCTGCCTACATTAAGAATTCGAGGCCCAAATAAAAGACACAACAATATGCCCCACACCACTCCTGCTGCGTGAATGCTTAGCTAATTACAGTGGGTCCTGTTTGCAGGGATTGTGGACTATGCTGGTTTACTTCCTCATACTGTTTTTGTTTTTAAAGTAATAATTAGTTTAAACATCACTGTGTTCCCACTAGCCTTTTACAAATTTAACTTAACAACAAAAGATAGATATCTCTACCTAAATATGATATATACATGAAAGCCCATGTTGTTGTTCTGTTAAATTTTGTTAGCTACATTTTCAAAGAATCGTTATCTTGGCAATATTTTCTTAAAGGGTGAAAAATATGTAAGTACTTCCAAAGAATCAATTTAGCAAGCAAATTTACTAATCCTATGACTAACTTTCCCATTAAAAGCAAGATAACAGCCATATAAAATATATATTTTTGCAAGAATATAGCTGACCCAAAGGAAGGGAAAAATAGCAAATTCCAGAAAGAACTGCTACATAAATATTCACAAACTTAGACATGCTATACATTGCTGCTATCATTTAAGCAAGGTTTCTTTAGGCTAAATGATTTACAGAGTCTCTTCTTGAATGTAAAATACATGTACACACGCACGCACACACACACTCTCTCAAGATGAGCTCAGTTTTTAGAGTCTTAATGGAAACAGTCTTGGTCTCCTAAATAGAACTTGTAATTAATATAGATTTTAAAATGAGCTCAACTTGAGGGTTCCTCAATGGACAGTTTCAGTTTCCAAAATATAATTTGAATATAGAATTCTTTAAAAGTAGTATCTGAAGAGTTAGCCATCATATATATTTTTATTTTATTACAAGATATTTTAAAATTTGGGCAGATACAATTAGGACAGAAAACCAGCTTCATACCAAAAATACACTTTCAATTACTTTATCAAGCAAATAAAAACAACCTTCATTTATTTGCTTTTCTAGAAGTTAATGTACAGTAAAAATTTAATATTGTATATGAAAGACATGTAATTAAGCATACATACAAAAGAAACATGTATTGAATGTTCAGAAACAAAAGTAAAAATAAATAGCAATGATAAAACTTTGAAAAAAAAATAATGCACATTTCAGTTGTGGAAAATACGATTCTTAATTATATATACATAGTTATACTTAATAGAAAGCCATCTCTTTAAAATTGCACAAACAAGGGACCAATAAAGCATAATTTTTATGACATGTAATACTATAATCCTAGGGCAGTTTGCTGCTTACCTCCAGGACATAAAACACTTAGCTCTGTAATATAATGAAAAGTATGCTGTACTGTTTGAGAAAGATTGTCTTCCTCAACTCTCATTAACCTGTAGTAATCCTACAAAAGGCTGTACAGGAAATTTCACAAAAAGAAATATTAAACAATTATTGTGCCCACTCCATGCTGAAGAAGCAGCCAAAAATGGGCTTCAAAGTAAACGTGGTGGGACATTTAATATTTCTGATGCTTTTTTATACTAAAGATCATTTCTTTGTTCTATAAAAACACTGCGTTTAACCATGATTGGCAATCTCAGCACAAGGAAAATCCTGATAAAATGGATGGAGAGTTTCTGCTTACCTTGTTTCCATGAATAAAATATTTCAGGAGATAAGAATTAACATAGAAAAGAAACATTAGGGTTCAATTCACGTACAACTTATCAGGAGCATAATTCCATTTTTTAAAAACTTTTCTGTAAGAAAATCAAAGGTAACATTTCCATCTGTATTATGGCACGGCCCTCACTTCAGAGAAAAATACACTTTGGGAACCAGAAAAAATTGCACAAAGGTTAGGGGCAACCTGAAAAGCTCTTGGTGAAAAACACTTAAGTCCTCTAGAGTAATAAAAAAATATGTGCAGACTTAATTACAAGTATTTACACTTCAAAGCAGAATCATGAGTTCAGCCGTTCAGTAAGAATGATTCTCAGGCATTTCAAAAGGTGTGATTAAGTGTGCCCATAGTACTTGTGACCACACTTGAATGCATAGAATACAGTAAAGATCATGGTTCTTCAGTCTGTCACTTGTCATATCTATAAAACAAAAGTGTTTCCATTCTGAAAGCTATAAAACCACAGGACTGACCAAGTATTTTTATTATCTCACATAAAACAGACTTTAAGTACTACTGATTTCACTCATTTGTTCGACAACTTGTCCTAAAATTTCATCAACCACATCAACGTCATAATTCACTTGCTGAAGATCGAGATCAGGTACGATCATGGCCAACAGCTGTCCTACGTTAACTCGAAGAGATCGAAGTTTGAGGCTGCAAATACAAATATTACGTCTATTAGATGAACATTATAACACAGTTCAATATTCACGTGGAGCCTAAAATTTAAGTGAAACATGAATTCACCTACTTTAAGAATCCATAATTTAACTTAATAATTATACATCTCTTGGTAAGTAGAGTGTTTCATAAAACTAGTGGCTCTGTTTGGTTCTAACTAATATAATTTAAACTTGCTATTGGAGAAATCTGGACTGGTAAAATACATACAATTACAAGGTGTTATTTATAATACAAAATATTGTCACCTGGAAAACAGCAGTGATATACTAGTGAGAACACTGGTCTCAGAATAAGAATGCATCTCCCTGAATTTCAGCTTTTGAGGAAAATAAAAACTGAACTGTTCTCTAAAACATGTTCTATGAGATATCCACCCTTGTGTGAAAGAGAAACAGTTCTGTGGTCAAATAAGCTTACAAAATTTTGGGCTAAATAATGTTAAACAGTTTTTAAAATCAAGACTTTTCTGAACCTTTCATATGCTGAAGTTCACTGATGATCCATTTTACTATTCATTTATAGGGAATGGTGCTTTGCTGAAAACACTGGGAATCCCTGGATTAAATGATCATTATCATTCCTTCCAAATTTATATACATGTATCTGAATATCAACATCCTAGACTTTATTTTTTTTTTTTTAAGTGGGCTCCACACTAGGCTAGGTGGGACCCAAACTCACGACCCTGAGATCAAGACCTGAGCTGAGATCAAAAGTTGGATGTTCAACCAACTGAGCCACACAGGTACCCCCAACACCCTAGACTTTTTGAAGACTTAAAACTATTCAGCAGCCTTTGCTTCAAAGATTGAGTGAAACATGGGAACTGAATGTTAGTTGCTCTTATTCTGCCCCTCTCCCAAATATAAACAGCCCACGTTTAGCTTAGATACTGATCTAAGGTGGAAATGTCTGAAGAGGCAAGATGCTCATCCCTACGTTGACAATCCACAATAAGGTGATTTAAAACATGTTTTGTAAGCTTGGATTGTAAGATTCCATTCGCCCCTGGATATAATTTTACATCATTTCCACTCCAGCCATTTTTTGTCCAAGCTTCCTCACTCACCTTTGAGTTCATGGTTCAAACACTTTTCTGCTTTGCTTTCCAGAAGTTGTTTACCATCCTATATCCTTACCAAGAATGTTCCCTTTGTTGTAACCACAACCTTTTATCTATATGATAAGTACACAAAAGACTAGTATGACCCAATGATCCTCTTACATCTCTTTTCCTTTAAGTCTTCTGATTGTCCCTGGCTAATTTCTATTATCTACTGGACCTGCCACAGATTCTTATTTTTAATGTACAGAACAGCACTGTCCCAAGAGAAATACTGCAAGCTCCATATGCAGTTTAAAATGTTCACATAGCCACGGTAAAAAGCAAAATGCAGCTGTAAATTTAATTTTAGTTATATATTTAACCCAATGTAACTAAAATATTGTATCATCAAATCAAAATACTGGGGCGCCTGGGTGGCTCAGTTGGTTAAGCGACTGCCTTCAGCTCAGGTCATGATCCCAGAGTCCTGGGATCGAGCCCCACATCGGGCTCCCGGCTCCGCGGGAAGCCTGCTTCTCCCTCTCCCTCTCCCCCTGCTTGTGTTCCTGCTCTTGCTGTCTCTGTCTCTGTCAAATAAATAAATAAAATCTTAAAAAAAAAAAAAAAATCAAAATACTAATGAGGCATTCTACATTCTTTTTCTTACTAAGGCTTCAAAATTTTATTTATTTTATACTTAAAGCACATCTCAATTCAGACTAGATTTCAAGTATCAATAGCCACATATTCCTATACTATTTTGGAAAGCACAGGTTTATTGGTTAAAATAAATAAAATAAATAACCAATCGATCATCAGTTACCCAAAGGTCAGTGTGCAAGAGAATTATCTGAGACTGTTTAAAAGTTTCCAATTTAATAAGCTGCACTGTAGGCCAAGGATCTACATTTCTACAAGCACCACAGATGCTTGTGGTTCCCATTTTGAGAAACACCACTTGGGATTTTCTTCTGACCTTAGCCTTCTAGGCTTTTATGTACTGCTCTACTCCATTTCCACGAACAGATTTACGGAAATCCTTCAAAAACTTAACTTAAAAAACAAGGTAATAATATAATTGATGTCAAGTGAGGATGGCAGGAAATTATATCTCAACAACAGTGCCTTTTAGGTCTGAAGTCATACTGTATGAGCAGGAAGAGTTGCCCAGTTTTAGCCTTTAATAGCTACTTTCAGATGGTAAGTCATCAACACATCAGGAGCACCATCATCCCCTCCCACCCGAACGTCTGCCTCCCCCACGCTCAAAAGCGAAACAAAACCCCAAACCCATTTTATATCTTACTGAGATAGGGTAATCCTTCATTTACTCTTTTCTTATTTTCACAGAGGAACTTCTTCCTAGTAATCACCTGTACTACGGCAATTTCTAGTAATTTTGTGATTACCCAAAAGTTAACATTGGGGATGGCATGTAGTAAAATGAGGACAGAAAACCATAAAGAAATGGCAAGTACAAAAGTAAAAGAAATCCAGGTGAAAAAGTATGTTTCATGAAATACTCCCTTGTCTTCTAGTCATGGCCAAATTCACCACCTTCTCTGATCTCTAACTCAATTTCCACTTTTCCCCAAACAGCATTCCAAACCACTCTAACTGATCAAGTGCTTTATTCTTTCCAAATTCCTGTTTCACTTAGGTTGAACCTAAACTGTTCATTCCGTGAAGGGAAGGATCGTTTTCTTTTGATAGGACAGTCTCTGTTCGAGGTGTGCTAGCTAGCAAGTATCATGCTAACCAGAAGGTAGCCCCAGAGTTGTGCCTCATGTAATATTACCTTTCCCCATCAGTATAATTTACAGACTCCTCAATGTTACTTGACGTTGAAACATCTGCTTCTAACTGTTGATTTGTAGATTTTAATTGTTCAATTTCAGTTTTCAGTTCTTCACATTGTGAACGGATTTGTGATTTTTCCATTTCCAATAATTCAACCTGACAAAAAAAATTCATAACTGTAAAATTAAATTTAAAAATTAAAAATACTAATAAAAATAAAACTTAAAAATACTAACGCTAAAATGAGACTTAAAAATACTAATGCCAAAGTACAAATTTAAGCTAAGAAATGTAGAAAATCCTGCTTGATGAAAATTACCATCAAAAAAGGGGGAAAAAACCACCCACAATAGCTTTCTATAAACAAAGCTTCATTTTAGTTTCACCTCCACATCTTGTCACATTCAAAGAATACGAAATGTTAACTACCGCTTGACTGAAAACAAATGGTACCTAAAAACTGGAAAACCAAGATAAAAATGCCTAAATTATGTCGACGTCAAAGTGGCTTTCATTTCTTGCACACTCACCAGCTCTAAGTTGTAACCGAAAGCTCGTTTTGATTTTTATATATTTTGTCATCTAACTCTAAGCCAATACATCAAGATGAATGTTTGGATGAGCTGTTATGTCAGCATTATTTCCAGGAAGAAGGGGCAGTACAGCACCATCCTGTTGTTTCCAAATTCTTTAGCAGAAAAACCCTTCTTTCAAACACCACATTAATACAATACATAAAATACATGTTTCTAAAAGGAGCTCTCTAAATCTGAATGGAGGGTATATGCAGAGGCTACTACCTATCTCCTGACGTCTACCATTTTTCTCCTTCTTCCTCAGTAGAAGAACCTCTGAATGAAGACTACACTTCCAAAGCACCCATTAGCCAGATGACTAAGTTCTGACAGGTGGAATATCAGCAAACTTTAGGAACTGCACTCTTCTTTGCTGCTGCTTGGAACATAGATCTACGAGTACTGGACCTGGAGGCCACCTCGGACCATAATGGCACACTGAGAAGCGAAGCAACAATGCAGGAGCCTGTTGTCTTGGATGCCTGTGGAACTGCCACGGCTCTATGGTGTTTTTGGTCACCTGCCAATACACCTAATCGTAACTAATACAGGGTGCATCTATAAAATGAGGACATCATCACCTACCTTGCATGGTTATTGCAAGGCCTATTAATAATGGATGTGATGTTCCCTATATTTAGCAACTGACTGGCTCGATGGGAACGAGAACAGTATTTTGAGCAGGATAATCCTTCATTACACAGCAATTTCCAGTACGCTACAGGAAACTAAAATACCTGATCACCACCCATTAAATTTTAGCAATGCCCAACTCCTCAACACGTATTTCCATATACCCCCAGGATGACCACTCCCCAGCTGAGAAGCAGCAGGGCAACACACAGTCAATACATGGAAATATTACTAAGTAATTTATTCCAATCTAGCAACTGGCAGTTCTTTGTGGTTCAGACTCCCTGGGACTCCCAGGACTCTATGCGGAATGATACACTCACCTCACTTTTATACTGGTCCCTCTCCACAGTGCACTTGTCCAACTGTCTAAACACATCGTCAAGCTGCACAACCATTTCGTCCACTTCACTTTTGCTCTCACTACTGGCACACTGACTGCATTCGGCCTTCACATGCTGCAGAGCACTACACTGTTTCTTCAGCCTTTCTATTTCCTCCAAAGCTTGCCGATACTGAGATACCACGTGGTCTGGACTTTCAGATTTGCCATTAATACTTTCAAGTAAACATACAGCATCAGTTTCGGTAGACTGATGGCAAGTTTCCTTCTTTACGTATTTGTTGTTCATTTCCAGTATCCTCTGCTGTAACACTTTGATTTGGTCAGTAAACACATTACACTGTCTTTTATAATTTTCTTTTTCTTGGGTAACTAGAAGCAGCTCATTTTTCAGTTCATTTAGCTGGCAACTAGCATCACCCGCAGATTTATCAAAGGTGTCCTGGGTTTCCTGTGCCTTCCCTTCAGCTTCCACACAGGCTGGTAGCACAGCTGCATCATTTCGTGCATCTATCTCATCTTCAAGTGCCTCTTCCTTTTTAACAACTACACTTGGGGCTTCGGTCTGGGTAGCCGCAGTGGTTCCCTGATCACACCTGGATGAAGAGATGCCTGATGAACCAGCTGGGGCACAAGGTCCCTTATCAGCCACAGGCTCGACCTGATGACCACTTTGCTCGATGTGACTCTGTTCTGATTTCACTTCAATGTCATGATCTACTGCAGGTTTGGGAGTACTGTTTTCTTCTAAGATGATGACATCTTCATCATCATCATCTTTATAAGCTGAATTTTCAAATGCTTGATTACTCAATCTCCGAGTCTTTGCATTCAAAATGGACGAACGAGTAGAAAGTCTCCGTTTCAGGCTGGAAAAAAATTTAATATATAAAATAAAAGACTATAAAATATAGAAATGAACAAAATAGATGACTTGAAGCAATCTATCTTGAAATTCTAAGAAATGTCCATGTTCATTTAAAAAAATGTTTAACACAGCACTGCTCAATGATTTAATGAAGTAGAGAGGATTTTCTCCTGTACAGCTGAGGAAACAATTAGACTACTTAGCTTGCCTTAAAGTAGGAGCTCTGCATACTCCCAAACATCCCTTCACTTGATGTCCTCTGGGCACCTCAATATATACACGGCCAAATGGGAATGCCCCCTCCCCTCCAGGTCTGCTCCTTGCATTCCAGCGCTCAGTGAATGGCTCTGCCCTTCCAGTTTGCTGTCATTTTTATCAATGCTCGATGATCAAAGGTGAGCCACAAACTAAACCAGCATGCCCTTTCCTTCCATTTTCCTGGCATTAAAAACTGCCTCATTTTCCTCATTGACTCAGTTTTCTGTGAATTTACCACCAAATGATACTATTTGCTCCCCCTCAGCGGGTTATCTGAGGTTTATTGTTTAGGCCCTAGGTGTTAGCCCTCCTGTTTCCTCCATCTCAGGAAAGGTTCTTCTGGTTCTTGGCTTTACTCCCTCATATCGAGGGAACATAGTCTCCAATAAAATCTTGATAAACAGTACACAGGACATAAAAAAATGTGAAAGGTTATATGATGAAAGTATCTTTATTCACTTCTCAATTTTATTGCTGGCTTGGTTTTTATATAGACTTCCAGGTTGGAAATTACTTTCTCAAAACTTTAAAAGCACCATTCCATTGTTATGTACCATTTGGTTTTCCTGCCATTCTGATTCCTGATCTTTTTGAAGGTAACTTGTGTTTTCTCTCCCTGAAAAAATTATTTTCCCTGGTGTTCAAAAATTTCATGTTTCTTAGATTGGATCTTTTTCCAGACATTTTTGCTGTGTATTTAGTGGAAGTTAAGTCATACTATTTCCTCCCCTTTGTTTTCTCTGATCTCCCATTCTGAAATTCCCGTATTTAGATGTTGGCCCTCCTGTACCTTGTGTTTTCCTTTTTCTACCCTCTACCTGCTTATCGTTTCTAAGAAATGTGTTTGTTCCACACCTACCCACCTCCCAGTAAATTTCACAGGGCTTCCTCTACTCCCTTTGTTTCAGTTTGTACTCCTGGTGATCTCTGCCTATCTTTATGTTTCAGGGTGAGACCGACTAGAAGCAGTGAGGGCTGGCCCTGTGGTGCTAAGGGTGCTCAAACTGTCAGCACCACCCAGGGCTTTTCCCCTGGGGGCCCAATGAGGGGAAGGCGGGGGATTTCTCATCATTTAGTACTCACTTTCCCTTACTCCTCCTATTTCAAAACAGTGGCTCACGCACATCTTCAGCAGTGAAACTGCTCCAGAAGGAAAACATCCTACCTTCTGACGGAGAAGGAGAAGCCACATCACCAGACCTGGCAGGTTATGAAGAGGTTTAGAGAACTACTCTTCCTTAAACTCTCAAACAAGCCTCCTGTTCTCACCCATTTTCTGCCTTAAGAAATGCTTCCGAGTTTGGAGCATGCCTGGGGTTCCATGGAGTTAACCACTTAACTGGGAGCTGCCCTGTTATTTTTCTTATGAAGCTAATTCCTATTTGTCTTTCTGAAGACTTAGTTTAGGAACATCTTTCCAGTCTTTGGCTTTATTTATAAAGCTTATATATATTAAAAAAAAAAAGCTTGTATTTTTCTCAAATTCAAACTTCAAAATCTTCAGGCTTTAAAAATTAATGAAAAATTTCTCTATTCTCTTCTTCCACTTGGATGGAATAAATCACTTCAAAGAATAAATTTCAGGGGCACCTGGGTGGCTCAGTCGGTTAAGCGTAGTACTCTGGATTTCAGCTCATGTCATGATCTCAGGGTTGTGAGACTGAACCCCCCTCAGGGCTCACCCTGGGCGTGGAGCCTGTTTGAGATTCTCTCTCTCTCCCCCTCTCACTCTGCCCCTCTCCCCTTAAGAAAAAAAAAAAAAAAAAAAAAGAATAAATTCCATTATCTTTTATCTGTAAACTTTACAGATTTCACTTTTTCTTACTTTGTTTGGAACCATCTTTAAGAAGAAAAGCCAAGAACATTAAGGAGACTATTTTTTAAAAATTCACACAAATTCTTAGTTGAGTAGCAATCCAGCCCCAAAAATGTAGGCTACAAACAGCAAACTATTTTAGAACATGCCCTCCTGATGTATATATGCATGCAAGCAGTTATTTCTAATCCTTTTGGAGGTCAAAAATCCTTTTGAGAATTTAATGAAGGCTATAAACCGCTCAGAAAATCCCATCCCACTATCCCTGGGAACCTGGTTTCAATGTTTATCTTTCAACAAAAAAGACCAAGTGTAGTTCAGTCTGATCCCCTAGTTCACTGGCATCGTGTTTTCTTCTTCACCTGTATTCAATTCTATTCCCTCTGAATGGCCACCTGCACAGAGTATTGCTTTCAGAATTTCAGGAACCAAACCAAGTACTACCTCATCCCAAATCTTCCCTGACCATTCCAGTCAAGAGAGCTAACTGTCCAATTTACCTATCACTCATACCTTTTTTTCTCCCTCCCTTCTCCATCCACTCATCCAAAATAAACAGCCTGCCATGAGCTAAGAACTCATGGGTCACACTTGACATTATAGTGCTGTACTATTAATTGCTTCATGTTTTTCTAAGATACTGGTAATTTAAAAAGCAGGAATTTCATATTATACAGAATTTCAAAGAAGTTAAAATTTGATCAAATTCCACAATGATTACCACTGATATTTTAAAAATTGATTTAAATGGGTGGCATGAGTGGGGTGGGGTAAGTTTAGATAATAAAAGTAAATTAACTAAGGGCGCCTGGGTGGCTCAGTCAGGTAAGCGTCTGCCTTTGGCTCGGGTCATGATCCCAGGGTCCTGGGATCGAGTCCCGCATCGGGCTCCCTGCTCAGGGGGAAGCCTGATTCTCCTCTCCCTCTGTCTGCTGCTCCCCCTGCTTGTGCTCTCTCTGTCATATAAATAAAATCTTAAAAAAAAAAAAGGGGGGGGCGCCTGGGTGGCTCAGATGGTTAAGCGTCTGCCTTCAGCTCAGGTCATGATCCCAGGGTCCTGGGATCGAGCCCCACATCGGGCTTCTGGCTCAGCGAGGAGCCTGCTTCTCCCTCTGCCTCTGCTTCTCTCCCTGCTCATGCTTTCTCTCTCTCTCTCTCTGTGTCTCAAATGAATAAATAAAATCTTAAAAAAAAAAAAAAAAAAGTAAGTAAGTGGGGTGCCTGGGTGGCTCAGTTGATTAAGCGACTGCCTTCGGCTCAGGTCATGATCCTGGAGTCCCAGGATCGAGTCCCGCATCGGGCTCCCTGCTCGGCAGGGAGTCTGCTTCTCCCTCTAACCCTCCCCCCTCTCATGTGCTCTCTCTCTCATTCTTGCTCTCTCAAATAAAATCTTAAAAAAAAAAAAAAGTAAACTAACTTATCCTTAAGACTTTTTACATGCATATATAAACTACAACTTCTTAGAAGTGCATTACTGCCATAGAAGTGTCAAGTAAAGGCTCTGTTTAATATTCATTCCCCACTGGAAAAATACATTTTAGCCACTGACTTGTTGCTTTCAGGTTCAGACTGGGGTGAACCTCGATGATTATTTATAAGTCTTGTTGCATAAGTATTTGCCACTTCTGAAAGATGTCCTCTTGGAACACTTTCCTTCACAGGAGAAAAGCTTTGACCTGACACGGGGGTTGTCCGAAACAAGAGTTCAGCATTAATCTGTTGGAAGAAAAAAAATCAACCTTAAAGGACTTTTTTTAATGTGCCATGCCCCAAAACACGAGATACTATTATTATCCCTTTGCCCTGCATCCCAGAAAACACTGAAAACTATCCTAATCATGTAAATTCTTTAGTCTACACCATAGAGCCACTAACAGGCCAATAAGCCAAATCCAACCTGCAAGTGAGTGGAAGAATGGTTGTGCATTTTTAAAGGTGTAAACAAAACAACAGAACAAAGAATACACAACAGAGACTGCATGTGGCCCACAAAGCCTAGAATACTTACTACCTGGTCTTTTATAGCAAGATTTACTGACCCTATGCTATAAAGAACCTAATGAAATACAATTAAAAACTTATTTTTCTCAAAAAAAGAAATAGAAAATAAAGTCAAAGATACTGCCTTTATTTTTTTATTTTTTTTTCAAAGATACTCCCTTTAGAATAAGTACGCCCACTATTCTTTTTCACCCAGTTCTGTCCTCACCTCCAGACCCTCAGCCTTTGCCTTAAGAAAACATTTCAATGTAACTAAAAGCAAACATACACATCTGCAGCAGACCAAACTTCCTTACACAAGAAGTACAACTGCCTACCCATATACTCAGAAAAAGCTCCTTAACACCATTAAGCACTAAGAAAGTGGTCAAGAAAAACACTGTAGCTTTAGTCCAGGTTAGTACCAGAACATGGCTCCCCAGGGCTTCCTGTGAATTTTTCCTTAATTGCCTATGTGACGGTGAGATTCATCATTTTTTTCTCTCTTTTTTTTTTTTAGAAGGGGAGAAGCAGAGGGAAAGGGAGATGGGGAGAGAGAATCCCAAGCAGGCTCCATCCCTGCAGAGAGCCCGACTTGGCTCCATCTCACAACCCTGCGATCATCACCTAAGCCAAAATCAAGAGACACTTAACTGAATGAACCACCCAGATGCCTGGGTGGTAAGATTCTTAATGCCTGCCTTTCCTCAGAAGATGCCCGACTAAATAATAAAACTGAACAGTTTCAATGAAGTTGTTGGGCTAGGAAAGAAGGCAAGAAGGGGTATAGGAAAAGGAGTATGTGAACTGAATGAACAAAATCACCTCCATTTGTTACGCAACTCTTAAGCTTTAAAACTATTTGTTAAACTACCCACTACCCAATATAATACACAGCTCTAAAATGCAAGGTTTCATTAATTACCCGAGGGATCATTTCCGGTTGTCTGATCCTGAATTTTTCCTTGTCTCTTAAAAAGAAAAGAAAGAAAAGTGAACATATTTATTTTTCACTGTTTCTCAATGACATACTTGGCATTTCACTACTGAGTCACTCAGATATGTACCCTGAACTCTGCCTCAATTTCATTTGTAAGCCCTCAGGTGGGAAATACTTTCTGCCTCTTACCTCAGTAATGCCCAATGTCTGCCTTAAGCCTTCCACCCTCACCGGCATTATTCTCAGACCTCTGAGCTGGAACATCACACAAAGGCTTCTAACTGGTCTCTTTACTCACAGTCCTGCTGCTGCATTTATCTTCAAAACCGTGCACTCTAGATCAAAACCACCGGGAAGTTCTGCATGCACTCAGCCTGTGTGTGTGGACAGTGGCCTACAGTTCACCAGGGCTGACTGTCCTCCATTACCCAGCTTCTCCCTCCCTCCTTTTCCATCATGCCCATTCACGTATTTGCTCTAAAGCTGAACAAATCAGTTTCCCATACATTTGCATCTAACCCATCCTTCAAGGCCTATTACACAAATACCCTTCATGAATTTTCCCGATCCAGATTTCCCTTCCCATCCCCAGCCAGAAGTCCTCTCTCCTTATGGGCTTCCCAACAGGACTGGATCCTGCCTTCTACAGTACTCATCAACTTCTCATTGATAATGCACATATCTCACCTTCCCTGCTAAGACTATAAACTCGTATCAGGCATTACTCATTTATGATTCACCTATGTGTGGCCCCCAAAAACAAACTATTCTGTATGCAAACTACCTTGTAGATAATAGGATAAATAGCAAGTGAAAGAAGAGCAGACATCCACAGTATAAAGTTAAAACAACAACAACAAAAAAAGCAGCTGGTATTATGCATCCACATCAAAATCTTTTCTGGGGTCATAATCTTTTCTGGGTTGTACTAGCTTGATCTTGGAGAACCATCCAATTAATGCTGCACACCCACCACTATTAATAATTTGAGCATTATTTCCCCACCAAACATTAATACAATACTCACTTCTTTTTGTAGGTTTTTTCGTAAGTAGGATGCACCAAATCCTCATCTTCAGGTTCTTCTGGAACATCACAATTTCTAGTCAGAAAAATCACATGGGAATAACACGTCACCAGCGCCTATTCATACATCTTGAACAGTACTTTCTGCCTTTCCAAAAAGGGTACTACCAACTATATGGTACCTGAACTGTGGGTCAGGGTTATTGGAGCAATACCATTTTTCTGGAAGTTGATCTATCCCATCTGGTAATTTTCGCCACTTTAGACAGGAATCACATTGAACCCATGTCTGATCAGGACGTTTCCTGTAACAAAACAACATAATATTAGTATGAAAATACGGATGCAAAGTACACTTCATTAGATCCTCTACATCATTTCTACCACAAAATGCCTTTATTATTGAATTCTGTTCCTGAAATGCCTGCGACATAATTATTGTTGTACAGCAAGTTAAATTTTTAAAAACAATTTTGGTTACCTTCAAAAGGTTAAAGCTAACAGGCCAATTTAAACAGAGACTTAAATGTCTTGTTTAATAGCATACTACTCAATTTGTTCTCTGGTAATAAAAATTCAAACTTAAGATTCCAAACGCCTTGCTCTGAAATTTATATTAAGTTAGCATTTGCAATGTCCAATCTAGTATATTTATTAGCTCAAGTACAGAAAATAGACAAGCTGTTATTACTATAACTTAAGCATTTTTAATAATTCTATTACATTTTAGCCTCTACCATAAGCATATCTCTGAATATCTAAAACTTGTATATTCTTTTAGTTTATAAAATGCTTAGTTTTATCATTTGAAAATTACAATGATCCTATGAAGAATTTAGGTATTCATTTAACATTTCACTTAACAATTATTAACAATTCACTGAACATATGAATAATGCCAATAACTTTTTATATCTAAATTTTTAAAAATGCATTTGCATAGTTACATAAACTTGAAACAATCCATAAATTTGTTTATTTTTAGAGAGGGGGGAGGAGCAGAAGGAGAGGGAACAAGAGAATCCCAAGCGGGCTCCATACCCAGTGCAGAGCATGACGCAGGGTTCTGTCTCACCACCCTGAGATCATGACCTAAGCCGAAATCAAGAGTTGGAGGGTCAAAGTCGGATGTGCTCCAGAAATTCATGAAGTAAATACAAACCCCTTGTTTCAGGAGCTTACCACTGTTCATTTTTTTAAACCCTGGCAGAATTTTCTATGCTTGCAGAATTATGCATGTGTATATAGACACTTTAAAAAAATAAAGTGGGAAATTAATACATTGAACTGCATTTTTTTTTTTTTTAAGATTTTATTTATTTGACAGAGACACAGTGAGAAAGGGAACACAAGCAGGGGGAATGGGAGAGGGAGAAGCAGGCTTCCCGTGGAGCAGGGAGCCCGACGTGGGGCTTGATCCCAGGACCCTGGGATCATGACCCAAGCCGAAAGCAGACGCTTAACAACTGAGCCACCCAGGCGCCCCTGAATTGCATCTTTTCTGTTCCTCATTATACATCTTGGTCATCTTTCCATCAGTACAGTTATTATTCATTCATTCACAGAATTGGTTCTGTGTGCTATCCTGTTACTGAATGCTTGTTAGGCATAGTTTTTAAATCTTGTAACTCTGGGAGGTGCTACTAATGTTCCCATTTTACAAGTAAAAAAAAAAAAAGGAAGCTTATAAAAGGCCAAGTAACATGTTCAATGTCACATCATTATTTAAGCAGAACTAAAATCTAAATTCAGGTCTGGCTTTAGACTCATGATCCTATTACACAGACCAGAGTTTTTCAAACTATAAGATATAACCCATTAGTGGATCAATTTAATGGGTCGACTTACATTTTTTAAAAGAAATAAGTATCAGCATGCAATGAATGTATGGATAAATACTGCTTCATGAATCTTTTGTGTGTATGTATAAATGTATACATTCACTGACTCATTTCATGGTGTGCTCATTGGAGTTGTACAATTTACTTCTTCCTCTGGCTTAGTTCAAAGTTTGTGTACCATCCCTATACGCTCCAACATCACATCTTGATATTAGAGTGGGTTGATATTTTTTATTGTACTTACTGAATATCTTCAACTGGCAAATTTAGAGGATATTCTGCATTTTTCTTCACTTTCATTTCATTCCAGTAATCATTCAGCTTTTCTCCTAACGCTGCTATTGTCAGCCTAAAAAAGCAAATCAAAATCAGTTTAAGAAAAAAAAAGATAAAGCTTAAATCTTTGTCAAACACAGAAAAAGCACAAGCGACTTAGTAAGGATCATGTGGACACTATAGGGGAGGGGAGGTTGATGACTCCCAAAGGTACAATTAGTAAAGAATGCTCTAATGGCAATTTTCTACAAGGACACTTTTAAGTTCCCAGAACAGAGCCAGGATCATCTTTGAAGATACAAATAGTAATATTTTGTGTCCTCTGTTGAGAAAGTATGTTGCAGACCAATTAGTGGGAGTACCACAGGCTCTCTGAATTCCAACCCCAACCGATAAATTTATAAGCTTCAATTCATATTAGAACTCAAACTTTTTTTTAAAGATTTTATTTATTTATTTGACAGAGAGAGAGAGATAGCGAGAGCAGGAACACAAGCAGGGGGAGTGGGAGAGGGAGAAGCAGGCTTCCCGCCGAGCAGGGAGCCCCATGTGGGGCTCGATCCCAGGACCCTGGGATCATGACCTGAGCTGAAGGCAGACGCTTAACGACTGAGCCACCCAGGCGCCCCTAGAACTCAAACTTTAAGTTTATAAAAGTATGCTATCATCACCAGCAAGTATATTTCAAAATAGCTTCTGTCCCACAGTTAAGACTGTCACTTCTTCCCCAATAAGATATTAGTAAAAATCAAACCAGTGGGATTTAAGGCCACACTTAAGTAATCATCTGAGTTAAGCACCAACTTTGCCAGAACTATGCACACACAAGGTACAGTCAGTGTAACATTCTAAATTTAAAATAAGGCTTTCAAATGTCAAGACTTCAAATTCTACACTGGCAGATTAATCAGACATTTCTATCCACACCCATTATCTCCCACTAATTTTTTCTCCATTACCACATAACATATAACATGTAAGTGTCCAAATGAGAATGAATCTTCCTTCCCAAACATATCCTCCCTGCATTTCACTTTTTCACGTCTTCTTCATCTCTTCCTCTCATCACCACTATTCCTCAGTCCAAGAGACTGCACCCATTTGTGTTGAGAATATACTGAGGAATGAAACTGCAGGGTCATAGGCGTGGGCACTGATGTTTGGTTTTACTTGATAATCTAATAGTTCTCAAAACTGATCGATTTTCATACCCACCAGCCACGTGCAAGGGCTCCAAATGCTCTACATCTTGCCAACATTCTCTGTCTTACTCATTTTAAATAACTTTTCCATTTTGCCCATTATGATCAATACTTTTTGCACCTTGTTTTAAAAACTTGCTTAACTAAAGGTTTTTAAAATATTCTTGTTCTCATTTTCTGTTTTTGTCTTTCTTATTTAGGTCTAAAATCCATCTGGCATCGATTTTTTGCTTCCTTTGAGGTAGGAGTCATATTGTATGGTTAATCATATTAACCATACAAATAGCCAACTGATCCAGCATTTTTGGAAAGATGATCATTTTCCCACTATAACATGATGTAATCTTTGTCATAAATCAGGTCACCAAACATATAAAAAGTGGGGGGTTATTTCTGGCTTCTCTATTTCAACAGACTGCTTATCCTTTAATTAATACCACACTTAGTTACCGTAGCTTTACAAGTGTTGGTATTTAGTAGGTTAAGTTTTCTTGCTTTGTTGTTCTTTAATGATTGTCTTAACTATCTTGGGTCTTCTGACTTTCCACATAAAGTTTAGAATAAGCCTATTAATAATATCAACACCCAAACTGGCAAGGATTTTTTTAAAAAACTGCAATTGTATTTAATTGGAGAAGAACTGACATTTTATAATATACAGCCTTCCAATTCTTGAACCTGGTTTGCCTACTTATTCGGGGCTTAAATTTCACTCCACAATATTTCATAGTTTTCAGTGTATATGCTGCATATTTTATTTACTCCAGAGTACTTGATTTTTTTTTAAACTTTTCATGAATTTTTTTTAATTTCATGTTCTAGTTTTTAGTTGTTGGTAAACAGAAATACAATTGATTTCTGAATACTTCTTATCCAGCAACCCTAGAATATATATCATTTAATTTATTCCTTTATTAATTCTAAATTTGCATATTATTCTGGACTTACTATATACTTAATACTATCTTGTACAGAAAAGTTTTACTTCTTCCTTTTCACCCTTATAACTTTTACTTCCTTTTCTTTCCTTATTATACTGATTATTTCCTCAAGAACAATGGTGGATAGCAGGAATCTTTATCTCATTTTCACTGTTAAGGGGAAAGCTATTAATAATTCATCATTAGGAATGATGCTTGGTGTTTCTGTAAATGCTCTGTATTGCTAATATGCCCTTCTATTAATGATTTTGTAAGTGCTCCCTTTTTTCCCCTAAATTACAAATGGGCGGGGTGCCTAGGTTGCTCAAGACTTTGGCTCAGGTCACTGTCTCAGGGTCGAAGGACCAAGCCCCACGCCCAGCATGGAGCCTGCTTAAGCTTCTCTCTCTCCCTCTCCCTCTGTCCCACCCTACCCCCACACCCTGCCTCCGCCCCACTCGCTTGTGCAGGTGCTTTCTCTCAAATAAAAAAAAAAAATTACAAATGGGACTTGCAATTTATCAAGTGCTTTTTCTGTACCTATGAAAAGAACCGTAAGATTTTTCTTTTCTAACATCAATGTGATGAACTACATTGATTTTTGAATATTAAAATCACGTCATCTTGCAATATAAATCCAATTGGTTTTAATGTATTATCCTTTTTGCATATCACTAGAGGGTATTTGTTATTATTTTATTACAATTTTTATATTTTGATCATGAGAGACATAAATCCCTTTCTTGTAATGTATTCACATGTTCACTACCAAAATTACATGCCCTCATAAAATCTTAAAGATTGTGTAAGACTGGTGCTACTTCCTTCTTAAATGTTTGAATTTAATATGTGGAAAGTTTTCTAAAAATTGACTCAATTATAAAGGAATGTGCCATATCATCTAAGACGGTAAAAAACCGTTCATGCTATTCCTTTGATGTTTTTGCATCTGTCTCCTTTTTGTTTCTGATAGTGATGACTTGTTTTCTCCTTTCTTTCCCCTTTTATTGCCCCTTTACTAATCTTATCAAAGAACAAACTGGGCTTTTTGATTTTTTCAGTTATGAACTTATTGTCTCTCAGCTCCACACCCAGTCTTCTTTGCTCAGTTTTGTGATTCTGAAGCTTGATCACGTAAACATTTATCCTTTGGCAGCCTGAGGAATGCTGAACTGGATTAACAGGTCAATGAAACCGCTAGGTGAGAGAAGACATGTGTGCCTCAGGTTCTGGTATATATTATTATTATTTGTCTGGAGCCCAGTGGCCCCCAGGAGCTCCATCTGTGCTCTCTACCCATGCTCTGCTCTCCAGCAGCCTACAACCTCCAGCAAGAGACCAGTTCCAGTGTGCCCACATCCTTGGGCAAAAACAGGTCTCCTCTACAGAACAGCTCCAGCCCACCCACAGCCTCTGGCAACAGCAGGTCACATCTACAGACCAGCACTGGCCAGGCCTTCTTTTTCTGGCAAGAAACTTGCAGGTAGCTTGTTCCTATGTTTGTCATGACTGCTACAAGATCTGAATCTCTGACTTTAGGGGCAGGGGGTCCTCTCCTAGTTCCTAGTCCTCTTTTTCAACCTTGAGGGAATGTTAGTCTTTTATATCTGCTAGTTCTAGGAACCTTCTCTTTTACCCCTTCTAGTAATCACCCTCTACTATCCTAGTTAATAATTCCTTATATTAAATTATCCCTGTTCAACTAACAGGAGTAGCCTCTGCCTCAGGAGTGAACTCTTGAGTATATACTGATTTTCTGTATTATATGTGATATCTAATTCATTGATTTGCTCTTACATTTATTATTTATTCTACTTTATTTGTTCTTTATTTGAAAAAAGGGCCTATGACATTATTTTTGTCTTTATCACCAATGTTCACATGCATTTGCATTATGTGCTCATTAAGGAAAGTGTGCCTCCTAAATCTACAAGTGAAACTGATGGTCATATTCATTCTGTGACTTCTAACCACTCTTAAAAGATCGGAGTATTTCTGTCTAATGTACACAGGACTAAATTACCTTCAAGTTCCCATCTAATAAGAACAAAGTTTCAGGATATTACACAGTAAATATTGACACCAAGAAAGCAGAAATATCCTCTATTTTTACTATAAATCTCAGAAATACTTCATCAATAAAGACAGGGGAGAACGAATTTCTACCGGTAATGGAGTAAAATATAATTCCTAGGTTGGGAGAAGATGGCTAAATGTGTTTTCTATGCAAGCCTCTCATCTACCAATTTTCTTAAAATTCTGTAATATAAAAACATCCACAAGACAGAAAAAAAATTCAGTTTAGGAAAAGAGATGAAAGTATTTCCAAAATAAACTGTAAAAAGTAACTTCCATAGGTAACATACCTGTACTCATTAGTATAGTCAAAATCTTGTTTATTATGAGTTGGCTTTAGGAAATTACACTCTATAATTCCCACTACTCCAACACCCATATTGTTTGCCTGAAAAAGAAAATGAAATCAGTGTTTCAAGCATAAGACATGATGCTCAAAATAATTACCCTTCCACAAAGATTTATAATTTATATGAACCATTTTCCTACATTTTATGTCATGATTCTTATGAAATTTAGATTGAAAAATAGTGTCTGGGGGCGCCTGGGTGGTTCAGTCATTAAGCGTCTGCCTTCGGCTCAGGGTCTTGGGATTGAGCCCCGCATCGGGCTCCTGCTCAGCAGGAAGCCTGCTTCTCCCTCTCCCACTCCCCCTGCTTGTGTTCCCTGTCTCGCTGTCTCTCTGTCAAATAAGAAAGAAAAGAAAGAAAAGAAAAGAAAAGAAAAGAAAAGAAAAGAAAAGAAAAGAAAAGAAAAGAAAAGAAAAGAAAGAAAGAAAAATAGTGTCTGGTAGGTATATTTTACTTTTCTAGAAGTTAATTCCTAAATATATTAGAGCCTTCCTCCAAAACCACTTCCACTGTTGTCAAATACCCATTTAGACAAGTATTATCATCCCCACTTTTATACAAAAGAAAAAAGACCACCTCTACTGGGATACATTTCTTAGATAGTAGAAACCACAACTACCTCCTTTCTATATCCACAGTATCTAGCAAAGACCTTAGCAATGATATTCCAAAAGTTTGCTAGATAAAAATTAAAATCATTTATCCAAAGTTACACATCCAGTTGCTAATGGTGATTAAGTAAAAACCCAGGCCAGTTGAATTCACGTTATTTTTAAAACGCTGCTAGCTAAAATATTCAAATCAAAGTATAGGAGTCATATATTCTGATTATATGTGATTAACAAGTGTATTCTGTTCACAATTACAGCTGAGTCTACAAAAGGAAAAAGTGAAAGAAAAGTGAAAATTTTCAAAAATACAGATGAAACCATGCAGATTTAATCGTAATCCCACACTATTAAAAACCATCAGTGGTTTCTCATCTCAAACCATTAATAAACCACAATACCCTTCAATTTGTAGTTCCTGTTCACTTTCTTTCCGGCCTCATCTTCTTATCTCTCTTCCATCACTCTCCTGACTTAGTTGCATATGCCCCAAGCAGTTAGCTACTCCCTTAATGAAGCCTCTTTCCCCTCCTTTGCAGAGATTTTTCTCTGCCTGGAAAACCCTTGCCAGACTTTTCAACACAGTAACATCAACTGAGACTCATCTCAATCACCACTTTTCTCCAAGAAGCTTTTTCTGATTCTTCCAACTTGTACCACATTTTCCCCTCACCAGAGCTCTGAGAGCATGCTCTGTATCTTATCATCTTCTTATTCTGAGCATCAAGCACGGCAAATCATACCAGGTATCTGACACTTATTTAGTAACTGTTTATTGAATCCACAGAATGCAAATACTATGCCCAGTCCATCACCTGGTAAAGAAAAACAATGTAAGAGTTGGCTATAAAAGCCTATTTCTAACAAGGTCAACCTTAGCCAGAAATTATACACAATGCAAATTTAACTTGGTTGGAAAAATGGGCTGTGTATCTTAAGTCAGATTCATAAATGATTAAGAAAAAAAATATTTTACATTCTGTTGCAGATACATTGCTTCTTTTGAATCCCAAAGCAGTTGAGAAACAAGGCTTAATACCAAAAATGCATTTCTAATTTTACCAGTGAAATTCCCTGTAACTTTAATTATAGAATATTTCTGATGAAAATTACTAGTCCAATTATAAATGAAAATTAGCACTTTAAATAAAAGTTATTGACACCTCATACCATGGTTGCCAGATTTCTGTATTTAGTGGTTCTGAAATTAGTGGTTACCAAAAAGAATCCAACAAAGTTTGCTTACTTTTGCGAAAATGCTATATTCTGGGTCATGTAACAGAGTTACAACCCCTGTTGAGCAATATTCAAGATAAACCCACACTATTATACTGTGTAGAGCTCACACCATTCTACAAAGAACTTAGAATGAAACAAGATGAATAGAAAATGAAAACCATAAACTTGGAAAACAAGATATGCCTAGACTTAATACCTTTAACAAACTTCATTTTCAGAATTTATCACTGAATTCTTAACACATATACTCCAAAAAAACCTTTCTGTGAAAACATGTAAAGGATGAACAGACTAGCATAGTGGGCAATGTGCATCATCCTAAATTGAATTCTACAACAATGGAAGTGGTTTAGGAGGAAGGCTCCAATATATTTACAAATTAACTCCAAAGAAGTAAATCACCTGTATGATCCTGTTTTTCTGGCTAATAAGTCAGGACTAAATAAAACTAACCAATTTCATCTCAAAAATAATCAGGGATCCATATCCAAATACAGTCAAAAGATCTGCATCTGGATCTAAGAACCATACTCATTTTAAGTCTAGGGCAAGTTACTTAACTTCTTAGCCCCCATTTCCTCATCTGTAAAACAGAGATAAAATATTCTGTCCCCCTCATAAGATTATTTGGACCAAGCGGGAAATTAATATAAAAGTATTTTAAGTTCAAGTGCCATACCAACATTATTAAACACACTGACATTTAAAAGTCATTAAGCAAAGCATATTTCACATTTGACCCAATAAGATACTTTAACTTTTTATAAAAGATAGAGATTTCAGATATAAAGCTTACCCTTAACTGACATCCAACTTTTTCATAAGCTTTGATGAGTCTATTTCTGTGATACATCATTATCCCATAATGGTCTTTATTTCTGCAGTTGAATCCAAAAGTAATTCTCACCGTTTTAGTCTTAAATGTTAAGGAAAATTCTGAACACACCACCTCACTCCCCCCAAATCATCCTTTCCAAGTCATTTTTTAATGAATCCAAAAGTGTAAAGAAAAAGGCAAAGTTGGAGAGGATTAGACTCCATATCAGGATAGGAGAAAGGGGGGGAAGAGAAATACACTTTATAAATGTATCTTTATACAGCATCGTAAAAAGGAAAATAAAGGACACCCGGGTGGCTCAGTCAGTTAAGTGTCTGCCTTCAGCTCAGGTCATGATCCCAGGGTCCTGGGATCAAGTCCTACATTGGGCTCCTTGCTCAGCAGGGAACTGCTTCTCCCTCTGCCTGTCGCTCCTCCTGTTCGTGCCCTCCCTCCCTCCTTCCTCCCACCCCCGACAAATAAGTAATTAAAAAAAAAAAAAGGATACTAAAAATTTGGGTCGATAAACATCACGTTCGATGTAGGCAAGACTCTTTGAAACCAGCTGTGTCTTCACTTTCTGTCCACGTAAGATGATCTGCATTCTTGGCTTTAGGTATAATATACTACAGTAAGCCTGCAAAGACACACAACAATATCTGTCCTTTCCAAATAATTACCTACACATTTGTTCAACATTACTGATATGTGTATTTAAAAAGAAACCTACCACTTTGCTTTGATAAAGGACCCATGAACTCTTCAACAATATAGACTATAAAGCTGTTATTAGTATTTGATTGCTTTTCTTTAAAAATATACTCAATAGGGGCGCCTGGGTGGCTGAGTCGTTAAGCATCTGCCTTCGGCTCAGGTCATAGTCCCAGGGTCCTGGGATGGAGCCCCGCATCAAGCTCCCTGCTCAGCGGGAAGCCTGCTTCTCCCTCTCTCACTCCCCCTGCTTGTGTTCCCTCTCTCGCTATGTCTCTGTCAAATAAATAAAATCTTTACAAAAAATATATATATATATATACTCAATATACTATAGCCTGAAAAATGGTTTGCAGAAAACAATCTATTGACCTATATATTATGTTATATTACAAATAAAACATTTTAAAGTTATAAAACAGCATATGTGATATTTCATTTTAATTTTTAAAAAATGTACATATGTACAAAAAAGGATTGTATTTCTGACTCTTTGTCAAGTATATATATTACTATTGCATTTTAAAAGTAATGATAAATTTTATTTAGGCAAAAATAACAAGCAAAATCTAATATAGACAGAAAGGCCTGTTGTACACCTGAAAAGGAAAATATCATAAATACAGTAGACAAGCTTAGTATTTTTTAAAAATTGAACTGTAACAATCAGCACTAATCTAAATGTATTTTCAATTCTTAATGTATGAAAATATAGATACTGGAACGCCTGGGGGCTTAGTCAATTAAGCGGCCAACTCTTGATTTTGGCTCAGGTCATGATCTCAGGGTCCTGGGATTGAGGCCTGCATAGGCCCTGCACTCAACGGGGAGTCTGCTTGAGATTCTCTCTTTCTCTCTGTCTCCCTCTGCCCATCCCCCTGCTCACACATGCACTCTCTCTCTCACAAATAAATAAATACATCTTAAAAAAAAAGAAAAAAAGAAAGTTGAAATACTTTACAATCTTTTTTTTTTTTTAAGATTTTATTTATTTGACGGGGTGGGGAGAGAGAGAGAGAGCACAAGCAGGGGGAACAGCAGGCAGAGGGAGAAGCAGGCTCCCTGCTGAGCAAGGAGCCCAATGCTGGACTCAATCCCAGGACACTGGGATCATGACCCGAGCTGAAGGCAGACGCTTAACGACTGAGCCACCCAGGCGCCCCAACACTTTACAATCTTGACTGAAGTCCATATTCTAAAACATGTTAAAAAATAAATATGCTGTTCTATGCCTGCCTCTAAGCCATCATATATCGCTAAAGAAATGAATTGAATAACACAGGACAGATGAAGATTCAACACAAAATTTGAACATTTCTCTTTATTTCCTGATTACTGATTTCAAAATTAGTGTTTTGTCATTTATAAAATTTATTAACAATATTTAAAACATTTTACTTCATGGTACACCAAATCCACACCACCTGCTGGGCCTGCCTCTGGACCTGTTTCATAATTGAGCAACATTTTCTTAACAACTAGGACATACTTCAATAACGTTTTGGGGTATATAACTGCTAGGGTATCAGAAAGTTGTAAATGTGTAAATGTCACATGTATCCTCAACTTGGGGTAATGGAATCATCTTAGCACAAAAAAATAAAGGGAAGGTAGTATTATATGTCTTATAGTGACTAACAGACAATATTCTTATCATATCAACATTTTAAACAGTATTAATTTCAATCTCAAAAACACTTATTATAAAAGGTCAAATGTCACAGATATTTATCACAAAACTGTATTAATGTGTATGATCTGTAGTTATATTTGCTTTAGGATGCAAATTAAGGTGTTCTAGAATATTTTAAACTAAAAAAGAGAGACACCGAACTTCGTGTTTTTGCCTGGATTAATCAATATGGCTATTACAGGACATACTGATTCTAGAATTCCTAATGCAAATAATCTAACCACCCAGTGAAAGAACTACAAGTGTTGTTAGACCTGATGACTTTACAATTATAAAACTTTTCTGAACAGGGGTGCCTGGGTGGCTCAGTCACTGGGCGTCTGACTTCGGCTCAGGTCATGATCCCAGGGTCCTGGGATCGAGCCCGGCATCGGGCTCTCTACTCAGCAGGTAGCCTGTTTCTCCCTCTCCGACTCCCCCTGCTTGTGTTCCCTCTCTCGCTGTGTCTCTCTGTCAAGTAAATAAATAAAATCTTTAAAAAAAACAAAAACAAAAAAACCTTTTCTGACAGTGTGCTCATGAAAAGTGAAATAAATTGGTTCCTGTCTGAGATACTTTTACTTAGAGATCACTGACAGCATTTATAACACAAGTGGATAACATAATTTCCATTATTTGATGATTTTCTCATGTCCAGAAAGAGAGCTGAATACATACCCTCAGGGAATAGTCACTCTCAGGAGCAATTTGGTCCATTCTCTCTTGCTTCTTGTACCCTTTCTTCCCTGTTGTCTCATCTAAATCTTCAGGAATTCTGATGTCATATTTATCCTTATCAAAATCAAACTCTGTTGCATTTTTGTAGCTATAAAAACAATTTTTTGAAAGAGCTAAATTTTAACTTCACAGCAAGATAAGCAAATACACTTAATTAACAAAACAAAACACCTACCCGTCCTGGTTGGGGGGCGAGGGGGGAGACGAAAGCAAGGGAAAAACAAAAGAAAAGGAATCCAGGAAGATGCAGAAAAACTGTATACATTCACACACTGCTGGCAGGAAGTCAAATGGTAGAGCCGCTCTGAAAAACATTCTGGCAGTTTCTTAAAAAACGGAACAGGCAACTACCATAGGACCTAGCAATTATACTCTTGGGTATTTATCTTAGAAAAAGAAAGACTATGGGGCGCCTGGGTGGCTCAGTCGTTAAGCGTCTGCCTTCGGCTCAGGTCATGATCCCAGAGTCCTGGGATCGAGCCCCACATCGGGCTCCCTGCTCGGCGGGAAGCCTGCTTCTCCCTCTCTCACTCCTCCTGCTTGTGTTCCCTCTCTAGCTGTCTCTCTCTCTGTCAAATAAATAAAAAATCTTAAAAAAAAAAAAAAAGAAAAAGAAAGACTATATTTCCACAAAAACCTGTACACAAATGTTCACAGCTTTATTTGCAATAACTCAAAATGATAAAAATCCAGATGTGCTTTAACTGGTGAATAGTTAAACACACGATGGTCCAACCATACACTACTACTCAGCAAGGACAAGGAAGCAAACTACTGACACACACACAGGAACCCAGAGGAATCTCCAGAGAAATATAATGAAAAAAGCCAATCCCAAAACCTTTCACACTATGGGATTCTTTCTATTCATATAACATTCTTAAAATGATGAAGTTACAGAAATGGAGAACATGTTAGAGGTTGTCAGGGATTAAGGAGGGAGGGGGTGTGGATATAAAAGGCCAACATGAGGGATCGCGGTTGATGAAAACATCTGTCTCTTGACTCTATCAATGTCGATATCAACACTACTGTACTACAGTTTTGCAAGATGCTGCCACTGGGGGAAACTGGATAAAGAGTACATGAGATTTGTGCACACAAATCTACAGGTATCTCAAAATAAAAAGTGTAAATTTAAAAAAGGGGAGTGAGAATGGGTGGGGCTTGACAGCAAAACAAGGAAAAAAGGGAATATAAATCAAAGTATTTTAGGCTTACCACTCAATTTGTGCTTTATTCCTATCATTCTGTGTGTCTAAATATCTCAACATTATACATTCATCCTAAGTTTTAAAAAAACCGTATTTGCAAATGATTTTATCCTCACAAGGATAAAGGACTACAATCTTTAGCAATACAGAGGTCTCATCTACATTACTTTTCTCACCAGTTGTTAAATTATGCTTGGCTTTAAGTAACTGACAAAGATTTCTCTTCCTAACTTACACAAGTAGGGCTTATTATTTGAGGAGAGGTAGAATAACAGAAAGTGAGAACTGAGCTCTATGGTTACTCAATGGCAGGGCTAGGAAATTGTTTTAATAATATGAAATTATCTCAAATTGAAGCCAAAGTGGCCTCAATAAAACACTCTTGGAAAAGACAAATCGTTACCTATGCCAAAAAATGAGTACCTTCCAACATTTCTACTCCGTGTGACAACGGATAAATGTAATAAAACCATTCCTGCACAAGCAATTTCCTTTCCAAATGAGAAACCGTTCACTGAGTTCCACATTTACCTTCTAAGGTTCCAAATGATGATCCTCGTCCCCTTCTTACCCATGATAGCATCAAGTTCTGCCAGTAACTTCTGTTCCGTAGAAAACAGAGAATGTTCCAGAATTGCTGCAAGGCTTGCTTTTGATTCTGATAAATTGATCATCTGTCGTATATCTTAAGTTAAAGACTTAGACCAACAACATATTTTTCACAATTGCAATATGGAGACTCAAACAGTAACAGTAACAGATAACTATTTCCTAAATTAATTTCTAAGTTTTAAAACTGTAGTTTGATTTCAGATGAACACCAAGGAAGATGAAGTATGAGCAAGTTTATTATGATTCCTAGCTAATTTAATGGTTCCTAATATCTGAATGTGTTTATACACAAAATGTGTTTATACACAGAAGACATTCTCCTAAAGATACCTTGCTTTTCATGGGCTTAGGGGAAATTTCAAGGCAAACCACACATCATATTAGGCATAACACAACTGAAATAAAGGGGAGAGCTACAGGAAGCTGAACACAGAATGCAACACTCTTGGAAAAGACAAATCGTTACCTATGCCAAAAAATGAGTACCTTCCAACATATTTCTACTCCATGTGACAATGGATAAATGTAATAAAACCATTCCTGCACAAGCAATTTCCTTTCCAAATGAGAAACCATTCACTGAGTTCCACATTTACCTTCTAAGGTTCCAAATGATGATCCTCGTCCCCTTCTTACCCATGATGGCATCAAGTTCTGCTTAAGGGTTTCCATGGCATAATTCCAACAGAAGAGAGAAAGAGACAAAGGCTTAGCCTCAGATGTAAGAGGCAATGGGTAGGAACAACAGCTATCACAGAAACTTTGATTAAAAAACGAGAATCTGGAGAAGGGCAAGAGGAGGGAAGGGTTCAGAGTATTTCTTCAGTTTCTCCATAGTTTCTATTTCAAAATCAAAAGGATATGGTGTTTGTTGAACGCCACTATTGGGACAACAACATGTTCTGCTTTTATGACTTCCAAGTAGGTCTGAGATAAGAAGCCCACACTCATGCTTTCTCCATTTTTGGTAAACACGATTGCATCTTTACCCAAACGCATAGAACCTGACTTAAAGCCATTCCCATACAATCCAACTGGGACATGACCATTCATGGTGACTTTGTCACTGAAGCCAAAGCTAAAAAGGAAAAAGAAAAAATTTTTTTTAAATAAATATGTATAATCTTCATTTTTTTTAAATTCAAAAATTATAAAGTAAAAAGCCTGGGTATAAACGTTAGCCTCATCCTCTAGTTGCATAATCTTAGGCAAACTACTTTTAATCTATTTTGACGTTTTTCCCCATCTCCAAAATGAAAACTAAATCTGCATTGTAGGGTGTATGAATTACACACTAAAACAGGAGCTCATTGCCTAGCACATCATGCCAAAATGACTGAGTTCTCATTTGGGCTCCTGTGACCCTTGAGATTTTACCCCATGATATTTCTTCTAAATGCAAACAACTCCCTTGATCTCAGCAAGCCTACTGTAGTATGATTACTAATGGCATCGACTAGAGTTTTTGGCAGAATAACAAGTATTTAAGGGACAGTAGAAAGGGCTCTGCTACCACATTTTCTCTATCCTCTATCTCTACTAGGTACTTTGGTTTCCTTTTCAGGCACATTTGGCTTCACACTGACATCCTATTCTGTGACCCTAGAGCCCAAGGCTTTATGACTATTTTATCTTGCTTCCTTCCTTTCCTTATCCTCAGAATCCCTTTAAAATGACTCCCCACCAAAAGTGGCGTTTTACTGGAAATACTGGTTAAAACTAATTAACACTGGAGTATAAATAACTGCTATCACTGCACTATAACTCTAAAGGAATGGTGGAATTTTGGATAAGTCAGACATGCGGGGGGTGAGAATGGCAGGGATTGTCTAATAATCAAATAGTAGTAGGAAATGATGGGAAGACTTAAGAGAACGGAGTGGGCTGTGGGTATAGCATATCATATTTAAAAAACAAAAAGTATGGGCAATAAGTAGGACACATGAAACCCCTGAACTGGGTAAAAGCAATATTTTTAAGAAATGTGACACTTTTGGGGCGCCTGGGTGGCTCAATCGGTTAAGCGTCTGCCTTTGGCTCAGGTCACAGCGAGCCCTGTGTCGGGCTGCTGAGCCCTTTCCCTCTGTCCTTCACCTTGCTCGGGCTCTCTCTCTCTCAAATAAATAAATAAAATTTTCAAAAAAAGAAAGAAATGTGACACTTTTACATACCTTAGCATTTTATGTAACTTATCTGAAGTCATACCATTCCCATTATCAGTGAATGTCAAGCATATATGGTCATTTATCACTGTTTTGTCAATCCATATCTGTTTAGCATTCACATCAGGATCGTAAGCATTATCTGGGAAACAGAAGTTTTGAGAAATTTTGATTTTTCATTTTAAAGAGCAATTAGTTCAGTACAATCCTTTAACAAGCAACATATTTTTTAAAAATTGAAATGTTTAGGAACTCCTAAAATTTGAAAACATGAAACTAAACTGTACCTTGCTATACATCATTCACTGATCATTACAGAATTAGCTCTTTCCAAAGCCCTCCATTTGTCACACTGGTACCCACTCTACTGAAAAAGTACAAATAATAAGAATGGCTGTACCAAAGAGATGAATGAGAGGTCTTCCTCTGCCCAAAGAACCGGCCTGGCTATCAAGAGAGGAACTGAGAGCTGAGTGTCATCTCGCACTACAAGCTGACACCAAGGGAATGCAATGCAGTTCCTGAATAACCAAGGAAGCAGTCATGTTTTCTGCTAAGCTGGATACACAGATGAAGGTCTACCTTCTACACGGTTCTTCAAATTGTGGCCCTTTCCAATCTAACCAAAGTTTCTGGTGGCTTTTACATTTCTATGATCTCTGTACAGATCCCCATTTAACACTCTTGTTTAGCTTCCTTGTTTGTCTCAGAATAAATAAGTAGGAAGGAATACATTAAAAAAAAAAAAAAAAACACGAAAAAATTTTAAAAATGTCAACAGAAGCAGCAATAACATCAGCTTGTGAACTATCTAAGTTCTACCTGAATATCCTTAACTGACCAAAAATACTTGCTGAGGTATATTTTGAAGTCTTTATGACTAAACATAAATAATGGTTCTCAAACTATCCTTCCATAAGGCAGCCTAGAACTAAAATCATCTTTTTAATCAACAACATCGGGAGAAATGGGTGTTTCACTTAAATTTGGTATAGCACAAAGAGCACCATGACTTTCAGCTGCTCTAACCCAAAGCCAGACAATCACTATATATGAATGAACAATCAATCCCAGGTTGGGTGGCTCCTCTGGGTTGCCGTAAAAAAAGAATGGCTCTGAATAGCTGCAGTGTTATACCCACTTCCGGGTTTTTAAAAAACCAGCTGAACAGCACATGCTAGCTGGGAGACTTTGGAAAATCTAACTATGCCAAAGAAAAGAAGGGTGCTCAAAAGTGCCTCCTTTTTTTCCCCTCTTATACATCTAAGATAGAACCCTTTCTTGACAAAGAATCTAAAGTATTTCTAAGAATTCCAAAGAATATACTTTCCTTTATTACCTGTTTCTCAAACACATGCTTAAAACAAAAAAATCAGGGGCGCCTGAGCACCTCAGTTGGTTAAGAGGCTGACTCTTGGCTCAGGTCAACATCTCAAGTCCTGGCACGGAGCCCCACCTCTGGCTCCACGCTCAGCGAGGAGTCTGCTTCCACTCCCTCAGCCCCTACCCCTGCTCTCTCTCAAATAAATAAATCTTAAAAAAAAATTTCACATGCATGAATTTTCCAGATAGAAAAAAATCATGACCCATAATGCAAATCTGATCACAACCTTGCCTCTTCTCATGTTCACTGAAACACTATTAAAATACAATTCTATACCTAATCATTCTATTGGAGGAAACAAAAATGTATTATCACAAATCTAATGTAACATTAATCCCCCTATTGCTAACATCAGAAAAACAAATCGACTGTTATATGTACTTTCCAGCTATTAAAAAACACAATTCCCATTTTTGCAGTACGTCAATTTCTTTTATAATCAGAATAAAACTATTTTCAACATGTTTCATAAATTTAGCAAAATACTTTTATAGTACAGAGAAGGTTGAGCAGCAATTAATTTGACATCTATTTGAATAGTTGTTATGCTAGATAACCTTTACTGATGGTATCATTTAAAATACATGTTTTATTAAACAGCACATCTGCATATTATTTTTCAATGAAAAGTTTTTTAAAACTTCAATTGCAAGCAACATATTATACATGAAATGTCAATTTTACATACCTATTAGTTCAGCAACTGCACTGAATGGCCAAGTGTGACTAGTAGAATTTGTATGTAAAAACTTCGGGCAAAGCTGAAACAAAGCAATGATTCATGTAAATTAATTCAAGTCATACTTTTGAGAACAGAAACCAATATAATTTTCTGTCCCCGTATTAAACAACACTGGGGCACCTGGCTGGTTCAGTCGGTAGAGCCTGTGACTCTTGATCTCAGGGTTGTGAGTTCAAGCCCCACGTTGGGTGTGGATATTACTTAAAAATAAAATCTTTAGGGGCGCCTGCGTGGTTCAGTCAGTTGAGCGGCTGCCTTCGGCTCAGGTCATGATCCCAGGGTCCTGGGATCGAGCCCCATGTCCGGCTCCCTGCTCAGCGGAGAGCCTGCTTCTCCCTCTCCCTCTGCCTGCCACTCTGCCTACTTATGCTCTCTCTCTGTCAAATAAATAAATAAAATCTTTAAAAATTAATAATAATAAATAAATAAAATATTTTAAAATAATAAAAATAATCAACACTGAGACCAAGCAAAAATAATAGCTGCTTGCTTCAGGATATACGTGGAAGTTATAACCTCGAAGATAAGATTCTTGGAAGCCTGTGCTAATCAACTAAATAGGTTACTCATCAACACCTGCTTCAAAACCCTTGCCTCCTTGGGTCCACCAATCCAAAGCCATGATATCATAAACCACCCAATCAGAAAGTTACCCAGTTTGCAAGGCCTACCTCAAAATTACTGTGAGACACAACTAAGATTTTGCCAAGGGGGTGTTTTTTCCTGAGTGCATTAGCTTAATAAACTTAACTTCACTTATTAATCAACAGGCTTTTCTAGTGGTCTCTTGGAACATCAGTATATGATACTTTTTATATTATTTACTCCCAGTTCATTATAGTTAAAACTTGGCAGTGGAGTAATAAATCAACCCTTTACACAATGTCAAATAAAAGTTCAAATCCAGGGGGCGCCTGGGTGGCTCAGTTGGTTAAGCGACTGCCTTCGGCTCAGGTCATGATCCTGGAGTCCCGGGATCGAGTCCCACATCGGGCTCCCTGCTCGGCAGGGAGTCTGCTTCTCCCTCTGACCCTCCCCCCTCTCATGCTCTCTCTATCTCATTCTCTCAAATAAATAAAATCTTTAAAAAAAAAAGTTCAAATCCAAGGACTTTAGGTCTGATTTTATTCACAGTAATACAGTATGAAAGACTATGCCAATCAACCTCATGCTATAGGGAACTCTCTAAATTCCTGAGTAATATAGATATCAAACATATAAAATTGTACAAGGGGCCTTCAAAGGCTGAGGCTGAAAAATTTCCATTTCAGACAGTTTCCATGCAATGGGGATTTTGTGTTCATTTTGAACAGATTATCTTATATTTAGGGAAAAAAAGAGAGGGGGCACTTTCAAGTATTCAATGTGAAGAGCTCTGGAAATGTGATGAGATTATAAATGAAACCAACTGAGTTTGTAGTGCTCAGCTGCTGCCACAAGGTGTCAGAAAGAGGTCTATTTTTCCTTTGTCCAACTTGGTTTTAGGTAATTCCCGAGCATTCATTCACCATTAGACTGAAGTACACATGTGAGAAATGAAATTCTGTAGAAGAGCAGTCTTCAAACTGGAGTATGGCACCCATTCATGACTATGAAGTAATTCAGCCTTTTTTTTTTTTTTTTTTTTTTTTTTTTTTAAGATTTTATTTATGGGGCGCCTGGGTGGCTCAGTCGGTTGAGCAGCTGCCTTCGGCTCAGGTCGTGATCCTGGAGTACCGAGATCGAGTTCCGCATCGGGCTCCCTGCTCAGCGGGGAGTCTGCTTCTCCCTCTGACCCTCCCCTCTCTCATGCTGTCTCATTCTCTCTCTCAAATAAATAAATAAAATCTTAAAAAAAAAAAAAAGATTTTATTTATTTGACAGAGACAGACACAGCGAGAGAGGGAACACAAGCAGGGGGAGTGGGAGAGGGAGAAGCAGGCTTCCTGCTGAGCAGGGAGCCCCATGTGGGACTCGATCCCAGGACCCTGGGATCATGACCCAAGCTGAAGGCAGACGCTTAACGACTGAGCCACCCAGGCGCCCCTAATTCAGCCTTTCTACAGCATATGTTACAAAGTTTTTTTAATAAAAATCAATTTCCAGATCTTCATCTTGCACAAGAGGCCTTTCTCCAATTAATCTACCTGAGACAGTGCCAGGGGTCAGCCATCAGGAGGCTCTTTATGTCCCAGCCGCCTGCCTTTGCATAATTATCACACTACCATTTATAGAATGGCATACTCCTCACCTGTTATAAATTTTACAGTGGGGCATGGCTTTGGAGTATGAAACTTCTGGCTACCAAAGGAGAAGACACCCTTAGAATATCTGTCTTTGCTCTATTTTATGCATTTCTGTTAGGTGTGAAATCTGGAATTGGAAATGGGGTACTGTGAATTTCAGATGTACTGGCAGAATGTGGTAGTGGGAATGTCAATTTTCATTTAATGTCTTCATCCTATATATCAATTCCAAATTGACAATGGTACACATAGTTCTTGCATAAGAGCCCCAGGAGAGCAAAGCAAAGAAGGCATCAATAAGAAATAACTGAATGGTAAACAGTGGCTTTTTCAACTATTCTGAATTCTCATCTCTAGAACATGTCATTAGCTGTGGAGGGAAAAAAACATCCTTGAACGGCCAAAGCAGTAATACACACACAGACACACATACAGACACACAAACATGCACGCGAAGCAGAGTATGTTTAGGTGTGTGACCTTGAGCAAAAAGCTTAACCTCTGTGCCTCAAGTTCTGTCATCTATAAAAATGAGGATGATAATCGTATCAGCTTACCAGGGTATTAAGACTATTAAACGAGTTAATATTTATAAATGCTTAGAAGACCAATTGGAACATAATAAGCACTGTGTGTGTGTGTGTGCTTTTTAAGTATTCCTTAAAGGCACAACTGAGCTCACATAAAAATAAAAATTAAGGAAGGGGAGCCTGGGTGGCTCAGTCAGTTGAGCATCTGCCTTCAGCTCCGGTTATGATCCCAGAGTTCCAGGAGTGAGCAGCATCAGGCTCCCTGCTCAGCGGGGAGTCTGCTTCTCCCTCTCCCTCTGCCGTCACCCCAGTCATGCGCACTCTTTCTCTCTGGATTGCTCAAATAAATAAATAAATAACCTTAAAAATATTTTAAAAAGGAAAATCTTTAAGGGTTTCAAGTAAAGAAGGAATTAACAACAAAAATAAGATTTGAAAATAAGGATGCAATGAGTGAGATGCTTAACTGAAATAAAAGGGTTTTTTTTTTGTTTTTTTTTTTTTTAAGGTTTTGGTTTTAACGGTGATTCAGGGATAGGAGATTTGGAAGTAACTGCCCCTCTCCACACCTCAATAAGAAGTTGGGGGCAGCAGGAATCTCTCTAATGGGAAGCTTGTCTGTTTTGGTCTAGATGCTTAAAAAAAAAAAAAAAAAGTGTAACAGGAAGCTCTGTAAAAAGGGGCATGCCTTCACTTTGGTTAAGTGTTTCAATTTCTATAACCTGCAGAAACACTATGGAGACACAACCTCAACCAGACCACATAGGATTCTCTTAGCTCATTATCTGGGAGAATATTTGAGTACAAAATCTAAAATAAGGGAACAATCATTTAAGGAACAATCCACCAGGAGAAAATGTTAGCAGACAAGATACAGTAGTATTAGACATCACTTCCCACCCCTAAACATTAGGAAACACACACACAAATGAGATGCTCTGAAGACTACACAGATTTTTTAAAGAATATAACTTTTAGAATCAACAAGTAGTCACACATTTTAAAAATCAGTTAAATATAAAACTTTTTTGGAAGCCTGAACACATGTACACCCGTTCATAGCAGCATTATTCACAATATGTTTACTTGTGCTCCTGCCTGAAACTGTTTTCTAATGAAGGGGGGAAAAAAAGAGAAATAAACCCAGAAGAACAAAAATAATCAGAGAAGTGATGGATAATAGGAGATAAAACAGTAGTTTGGAAATTGGAAAGCACAGATAGTGACAACTGATTTAACAGCCTTTGTAAAGAGCGGAATCCGAAACCTAAAAAAGATGGGAAACAAAACAAGCAGCAAACAACACCAGGAACCTTGGCAGAACTCCAGAAAGCCTTAGGAATTAGACTTTCGTGCCTCCAAAGTCAAAGGTACTAGAGATTGTATGAAAACAAGATAGCTTCAAAGTCTTTAAAGAAGCAGTCAAGATTCCCCTCCAGTTCCTTCTTTCACCCTGCCAACTACTCAAAGCAAGCCGGCAGAAAACTGGAGGTCTGTTCTCTGGAGAAAGTGATGGCAGGTTCAGGGACAAGGAACACAGGTGGGTTAAAAGCAACTCAGCAAATAGCCCAGAAATAAACCCTCACATATATGGTCAAATGATTTTCCACAAGGGTGTAAAGACCATTCAGTAGGAAAAAGACAGCCTTTTCAAAAAACAGTGCTGGGAAAGCTAGATATCCTTATGTAAAAGACTCAAATTGTACCTTTACCTCACAACATATAGAGAAAAAAAGAACATCTTAAAATGGATCAAAGATCTAACATAAAGAATTAAAACTATAAAACTCTTAGAAGAAAGCATAGGGGAAAAGTTTCAGGACACTGGATTTGGCAATGATTTCTTGGATATGATACCAAAAGTACAGGAAACAAAACAAAATCAACTGTAAAGGATACAACTGGGACGCCTGGATGGCTCAGTTTGTCGTCTGCCTTTGGCTCAGGTCATGATCCCAGGGTCCCTGGATCAAGCCACGTCTCAGCGTCAGACTCCCTGCTCAGTGCGGAGTCTGCTTCTCCCTCTCCCTCTGGCCCCCCTTGCCCTGCTCATGCTCAGTCTCTCTCAAATAAGTAAATAAATAAATAAAATATTTTTTAAAAAAATAAAGGATACAACCGATAGAATGAAAAAGCAAATCTATAGAATGGGAAAAAACATCTGCAAATCAAGTATCTGGTAAGAGGTTAATATCCAGAACATATAAAGAACTCCTGCACAAATCAACAAAAAGACTAAAAACCTAATTAAACAGTGGGCAAAG